GGCTGAAAAAAACCCAAACCACCAAACCCACAAAAAAAAAACAAAACCAAAACCAAAACAAAACAAAAAAACAAAACAAAACAAAACAAAACACCCTAAAACCCACAAGAAATAATTGAAATAAACAGCATGAGAGGACTATTATGGTGAAACTGCTTAAAGAAAATATAAGAGTCCATCTCAGGAATGTTTCGATCCTACAAACATAAAGGGTACAACTGGGAGGAGATTAATTGTCGCATTTTGAGTCGGTAGCCTAATTTTGACACGTGTCAAGACACTTTAAAGACTTGAAAGTGCCCAAGGAAAAAACAGGAGAAGAACTGCAGTTTCAGCACAAGAAAAAGAGCATTCCTAATGGGAGGAACTGCTCGGTCGTCGCTAGGTAGTTGATGGGTTTTAAAATTTGCCTGAAGATGGTGCTGTTTAGATGGCAGAAGCAAGGTCTCGAGCAGCTGCAGTAAAGTGGTATAGTACCAAAAAAATCTGCTCACCCAAAGTTGTGTAACAGCAGATTGCTGTAACAGTGATTCAAAAATCTTAGCAGTGGAGATGCACTGAGAAAACGCTTAACAAACAATTTTAGAATAATTTCGCTGTGATAAACCAATTTTTGGTAAGGTGAAATTTCAGTCCCCCAGTGTCTATCAGCAGATCTCACTCCCCCACTTCAGCCTGGCTGCAGTCTTTCTGCTCACCCTTCTGACGCCCCACCCTGGGTACAGCCTTTTTCAACTCACATCTGTGCACCGAGCGCCCTAAGGAAAAGAGAAGTCAAAGGGAAATACGGCTGATTTTTATTCAACAGATGGTGAAGGAATTTAAAGTGGAATTTCCCACTATGTACAAGCTTTAATGTTATTAAGCTTGATTTTAATGTGAATGCAAAGTGATCTGCTATAGTTTATGACAGTGAATTCTTCTCTCTCGGACAGACTGGGAACCAGATTTTCTTCTGATGGTTTTAATAAGGTATTTTTAAAAAGGGCATCAGGAACTGGACTAGTAGATTAAAAAAGAAATGCACTGGCATGTGTAAAACACTTCCCTGCAATTCACAGTAAATAATCTGAGGACAAAGCTAGCTTTCTGGCAAAATACAGTTTTTGCAGAATTTATGTTTTCCCCTAAATTGCACAGTGCTTTTTAACACCATATGCCAATCTGGGAATCTCAAGCGTAGTAATTAGCTCTGAGTTTTTGGAACATTTCATAAAGCCTGGATTAATCCCAACTGTATTATCTGGTGTCAGTTACTGTAAATTGGAGGCGCAGCATACCGAGTTACCAGCCAGTGAATTGTGCAATAATGACCATATGCTGTATGTTATTTTGCATCTTTCCTGTATATATATATATATTCTACCTATAACTTGTGCTAGATCAGGTTAAGGGGAAAGCCATATTTGCTCCTGACACAAACCAAAGCATGCTGCATATTGCAAAAAGTGGATGTCTCCCAAACAGCAGGTTTTAAGTCAACCTCCTGCTGAGCCATTGTACTGAAATACATCTTGCTTTTTAGAACTTTAAATTTACTTCCGCCCAAGAAAAATATTATCCCAGCACTATTTAATAACCATCCATAGGACCGTAACAGCTTGTAGGGTCACAGTCTTGAATTGATGTGCAACCCTGACATGGATTAAAGCATAGGAAACGCTTCCTACAGCCTGTTGCCATCTCCTGCTCTCCCTCACTGTCACCAGCTTTGGCTTTGCCTCTCCCCTCAAAGTCCCTGGTCTGTGCTGCCCGGTCTGAAGCAGTTCTCAGAGCTGGGCCAGCAGTAGATATTAGTCCTGCAGTGAAGTCTCCACCTCAGAGGAGTCAGAAGCACCTGAGAGGTTTGCATAGGAGCATGCCTGTGCTGCTCATTTTCTTCTGGTAATTTAATTATTTTTCTTACTTTTGCCCAGAAACAAGTTCAAAGTGGCCTTCTAAGTGTTCACTAGGACTGTAAATAGACAGCTAATGCAACTGAATTGCTCTGTGAGGGATGTTGCTTTCTTGATTCATAGCAGGAGTATGAGCCCTCCTCACCCAAGAAGCTTCTGGCCACAGGGCTTACATCCAGCGGGCAGAATCGAATCCAGTCAATCGTTGCCTATGATTTGATGAATCACTGCTTTTCAGTGTGTCCTCTGAACAAAATATAGACATTAATGATGGCATTTTTCTCATTGTTTTTGCAAGTGGGAATCAGTTGCCAAAGAGATGTGTCTGTTGTGGTCTGACCCATACAGCATTCAGAGGTCCTGCTCTGGCACCATGGGAGACTCCCAGAGGTCCCGTGTCATACTTGAAGTCCTATGCAAATATATTGGTTGTCTTTGAGAATATCAAAGGGCACTAAGTAGTCACATTTAAGCAACCTCACTATGTTCTGGACACATGTACCTCAGCTAGTCATCGTGGGCTCTTCTCACGGTCGGTGAAGGGTAGTAGGCACCTTTAGGGCACAGTGCATCTGATAAATGTGTCCTGTGGGAGAGACAGACTGTGTGCTAGATTAAGATGTTTTTGTGCAGTTTAGGGTGTCTAGGCTAGCTGTAAATAGCTAAATTACAGCTTCTTTCCTCTCCAAATAAGCCAGGTTCTGTTCTTCTGCTTTGTGTAGCAATAAAAATGGAAGAGATGCCAGTGGACCCAAAACATCTGTGATTCTTATTCTCCAAAGGCCTCACAGATTCTGCTTGGGAGAGAGAAAAATAGCTTTTCCAAAGAAGTCACGAGAATGCTTCCCAAGAATGTGATGATGTTTCCAAGACATTAAAAGGGGAAAAAAAGAAGAACCTAAGGAGGAACACAAAGTCATTCTTTCAGCAGAAACTTATTGGTTGTCCATAGGCAACAGTTTGTTTTGTGTTGTGGTGGGGCTCCTATTTCAGACCCAAGGTTAAGCACCCAGTAAGGCCAAGTCCCATATCAGAAAGATGGTGACCTAAATTAAGATAACAGTAAAAGAAAGAAACATATGAAGCTCAGTTTTTAGGAAGTGGTGGAACAAGGCAGGCTGAATATTTATCAGTTCAAGGTCAGAAGTTGTCTCGGGTAGGGTCAGAACTTGAACACAGGATTCCTCTGACTTCCCCAGGCAAATGACTTGTCTTCATCTTTGTATGGACATGTGGTTTTGGCAAGGTACTGTGTAGGATTTTTTCAACTAGATGTGAAATTTGAGGCAGTCTTTTTTACAAAATTCTGTAGGGATTTTTTTACTTTTTGTCTTTTTTTAACTTTATTTTTTTTTCTTTTTTCAATAGGCAGAAAGACTGTGTGGCTCGTGAAAAAAATCAACACTTGGAAAAACTGTTCTTTGAGTTCAGTTATTAACTGCTAAATCATTTTTAAACCAGGTCTGCTTCCTATTTTTTCTATTTCCATATATAAAATATGTCACTGTTTTGCCTTGTGTGTTAAGATGTTAGATCAATATCTGAATAATTAAATGCAGCAGAACAATGTACAGTTTAATTAGCCTTGAGGTTTTCAGAGTATTAGCTATTAAAACTAAATAGGGAAATTGGCTTGCTCTGAATCCTTTTATTTATAAATTACAACTTGGCAAAAGTACAGATCTAAGTTTATTATGCATTTGGATTATGCAGTACAGAACTGCTAGGGAAAATCTTAATCCATTTAGACCACAGCAATCATTTTTGTTTGAGATCGGTTACACTCATTGTGTTCTTGCAACATCTGTGATCATCCCGATGGGCTCTGAAGTACCAGGACCGTTTCGAAGCTGTTTAACACCACGGACCTCACCTCTGACTACTTTTAGCGAGGAAAATGAGAAAAAGGCAACCCTCGGTCCGGATTGAAAGCACTTTGCAGAAGTCTGTGCTTGATCAGGGGGCGGATTTGGCCTCGAGGTGGCACTGTGATAAGGCCCATTTGATCTTCAGTTACACTGACAGCGAGGTAGCTTTCTTCCCTGGTATTTAAGCGATTAAACACATCTACACATCGTCATGGTTGTTCTTCTATGTCACATTTTTGCACTTATATTTCGTTTACGTTAATATTTGCATTCTCTTCCGTGCAAGTAAATAAAGGCACACATTTTGAAAGCAGATAAAACACCCTGATAGCGCAATCCAGTATAAGAAGAGAAAACTAAAGGGGGGGGAAGGAGGGAGAAAAAGAACTCTTTTAATCTCTTTCAAAATAAGTGCAGAGCCATCAGACACTTTTTTTTTGTTGACTTTATTTACACAAGGAAAAGATGCAAAATGCTGATTCCTGATAGCAAAAGTATTTTCTCATTTATTGTTTCACAAGTGTACTGTTTCACACCAAGGAAGTCTGGCTAAATGTGAACCTGGGGGAAACATCAGATAAGATTGCAGAATGGAAATAACTCAAGCCATGGAACAAAGACCATGTAGGCTATGGTCAAAGACCACTGTCCTGTAATAGGTCAGATCCAGACACTTAGAAAATTCCCAACTCAGGGAACACACAGATTTTTGATTACTTTCCTCAGATCTCATCCAGATCCAAACTACTCTTGCTGAATAAAAGCCATATAAACTCACATACCAACTAATAATTTTCCCAGATTCAGCCTGTGTGAAAGACAACTTTAGGATTTTTATACTTCTTTTCTTAAACATGCTTGTTATGGTAGAATTCTAAATAGTCTGTGCCCATATATCCTGCTTAATTTCTGATTATGTACAGATAATACCTTTAGGATTTATTAGTGCTTGCAAAATTGGGAGTAGTAATCTAATCTGGAATATTAATCTGAATTTAAATTGGATCCAAAGAATCTATAGGTCTTCATTAGGTGTCAACAAGGCTCCCAAAACTCTGTAAACAACACTGAGGGTTACTTAGGATCAACAAGATGTAAGTGCTGATTAAATCCCAATTAATCCTTCCCATGTCTCACACAAACTGTAGATTTGGTCCTTATGGAAAGAAGTTCAGATTCTGCAGACTCAGTTTTCTGAAAGATAACCCACACTTAAATTTGTACCTCATAAGGCTAAGGGTTTTGGGTTTTTTTTGAGCCAAATCTCAGTGGATTTCAGATTTTTTTTTAAACTGACCTTAGTAGATATATCAAAAAGGGAAAACCCCTATGTAGGAACACTGGGAATATCAGCACAGGACAGAAAGCAAGAACCAAACATCAGACAAAAAGATGCTTCTTGTTTCTGATTCAGAATAAAAGTCTCTTTTTAATCCACTATTTATCCCAGAGGTGCCCACAAGACTTCACTGACCATCACAAAGTCCAAGGAAATATTTCATTGTCACTTTTTTTTTTTTTTCTGAATGGAACGCAAGGTTAAGATACACATAACCAAACATAGTTAAGTCAGAATAATAACATTGTTGTGTTTAATAAAACAATTAAAATTATGCTGGAAATGAAGAGCTCCAGATGAATCAATTGTTTTTTATCCCTGTGTACTGAAATAACAAGAAGTCTAAGCAAACACTGTGGTTTTTATCCTCAGCTGAACTTGACTTTGACTTCACTGTACCATGTAATAATCTGGCTACAATCCCACAGAAATTGCCATTTTATGTAAGGGAATGGATGTCATGCACCTTTGTATGGCATAATTTTGAGGCTATATGCATATATTTTTAAGGATAAGCAAAAAGGTGGAGTGATGAGTCAGGTCCTTAGTCTGCTTCTGTTGTTCTTCACACTAAAAGGCAGAAATGGAGGAAGGGAAAAGGATTATTCCAGCTAGACAAGCTAAAAGCAGCCAGAAAATGAAGAAACAAAGGTAGGCTTCATTTCAACCAGGGTTAAACAGCTAGAAGTTAGGTGTTTGGTTTAATGTCATTGTCCTCTACAGTGACCTTTGGCAGCATTTGCAGTAGTGTTCATCCCTGCCAAGCAGGGGTGCACGGGGAGGGGAGATGGGTCACCTTCTGCAGGTCCTCCTCTTGTCCCTCCACACAGAAGAAGTCAAGATAAATCTATCAGACTGAACATCTGACTTTGGCTGGCTCCTGTCCCAAGTGGGGATCATGATGCGGTAGAAACATATGATTGCTGCTGTGGACAGCCACCTTGTTTAACGCACACGTCCTCCATCCCAGCTGAGCCCTGTGGAGACCTGGCAGTGTTCAGGCCTTTGGTCTGACAACCAAAAAGTACAGATAAGGTCTCACTCACTCTGAATGTCCTAACTGTCAAACGTCCAGGAGACACGCAAAGGTGAAGACTATGCTCGGCATGTTAGTGAGCAATTGCAAGCAGATGGTGGACATGTTTCTGTCTTGCTAAATGTAAGAGGACAGCTTTTTAGGCCTGACCAAGCCTGGACGACCCATCAGGGCTGCTGAGGGGATTGAAACCACCTCACCCTTAAGCAAGGAGCAAGGCAGGGTCAGGCAAGCTCTGCAAAAGGTGGAGACAGAGCACGTAATGTTTCAGCAGTTCTGAGATATACGACAGAGCATGTTACCTGCTGACAGCTCCAGAGCAGAGGGATGCAAAAAGACCCTGAGCTCCCGCTGCAGAGGGGTGCCAAAAGCTAAGAGTGTTGGCATCATTCCAGCTACTTCCCCTCTGATTTTTTCCCTGCTGACCTGTGCAGGCAGTTGGACAGTAGATGTGAATGAGGGAATGTCTTCTTAGCTCATCTGGTTTACTTATTAGACAAGGTAGACAAGTTCTCTCCATTTTCTGCATGGGGAGTCAGCTCTGTGAGGAAGCACCATTTCAGATCACCTGAAATAAGCTTACAAAATGTTCCTCTTGTGGACCTCAACAAAACTGTTGGTGTGAAGAAGAAAAGTAGACATTTGTAAAAAAGTGACTCTGGGATACAAGGGATGTGTCAACCCCCCCAGCCCCATCTCGCTAAATGTTCTCCTTTACTGCATGGAAACCCCATTCAAGCACAAGCCTTGTTCGCTTATTTATTAAGTACATATGTTTTATGGAGTCTGTGATCTGCAGAAAACATTCCAGAATTCGGACCCAAGGGCAAAATCCTTTTTTTTCCAATCTATACTGCTGATCTTTATGCTGATGTTTTGCTCTTCCTAAGGGTTTTCTGTGCAGTGAGGAAAAGAGAAATATCAGAACTCAAATCCACCAGGTGTATCTGAAAGGAAAAACCTGCTTTGCTGTCCTCCTTGTTGCCTCCCTCAGCAAAAAGAGAAACGCAAAAATGAAAATGCAATAGAAAAGATGATGGCCAATACCACTAATACTTAATAAACTGACTGTTTTGAACTAAACCTGATGGCTTTATTGCAATAAGATGTCAGTTCCATCAGCATTAGCAGTACTTCATAGCTCAACAGAAGAATGGAGATACTTCTCTCACACTCAACTGAGGCATTTTCTGTGAGAAAGAGCAACGTTTTGGAAAAGGCTTCCTTTCCACCTTTCCACTCTTTAGATGTGTGTGATCTTGGATCACCCCTCCAGTTTCTCTTCCTTTTTTTTTTTCACCAAGTGTAGTCATTTCCAATAAGGTTCGTGAAGGGTTTCTGCTTTTGAAGGTCCCAAATGGCTTAAATCACTCCTAGCACAAATGCACTCTCTATTGTGGAAACTGAAACCTGCCACACCATAAGGTGATCTGTATATTAGAACCAGATATCCCTTCACATCTGCATTTCCAAGCAACTATGTGGTATGTTTTGAGTTAGCCTACTTTTAGAGTGGCTCATCAGATAGAGATATAGCTATAAATACTGCTAAAGGGCTGGTGTTTGCCAGGCTTTTGCAAGGATGCTGGCTGGGGAGAGGAGGACGTGTAGGCAAGAGGTACTTCCCTTTGCAAAACACGTCATCCACCCAAACTACCATAACTGCACACCATGGTGACAGGTCACCTTTTCTTCCTACTATCTGAGGAAACTAGTGTCCCTTGACAGATGAATGACAGGGTTTTGGGTGCTTCAGGTTGGATGCATGCTGGCCCCATCCTCTAGTCCTATATGCTTGGTTCTGCAGACTACATGATCTTGCACTCCAAAACATGGTGGTCTGATACCTACCAGGAGCAATCCATGGACTTTATTATCCTATAAACACCCTGACATGGTCTGGAAGGAGACTGATAAGCCAAAATCTGCCAGGGAGTAAGTTTACAGTGAAGACTATGAACAGGCATTTGCCTAAGCCTGTGCCATGATCCTTTTGACTTGCCTGTACACACCCAAACAAGAAGGCCAAGTGATATGAAGCATTTGAGCAGGATTAAGACTAAGTCAGCCATGACTTGAAGCAGAGAGGCCACATCATTATAGTGTGCTCATTAAAGAGAGCAGTCCCACCTCCAGCCGAGTGCCTTCCCCTTATAAAATTCAGTTAATTGCATATTCTCTGCAGAGGTGCCCTTCACCCATCTGCACCATGGTGTGTATTGTCATGAGGTGCCAAGAAAGCCTCCCCAAGACCAGACAGCTGGAAGGAGATATGCAAAGTGATTCGTCTGACTTTTTTTTATATGACAGTTACCCACTCAATATGTGGACAATATTAGCTAGATATGCTTTGGCTGTAAGAGGAACATAGGATGAAGATGTTAGACTTAGAAATCTCCACTTAGTTTGATTAATTCTCCCCAGTGGATGTGGGAGGAGAACTTTGCCTTAGAGAATGAGATAAAAGGGGCATTGGCACCTCTTCCTACTTACTTGGTAGGACATAGTCCTTTGATGCACAACAAAGGTGCACTTTCATCTCTCCTTGCCCATCTCCCCAGTACTGTCTCCATTGAAATCAAGACATTAGCTTCCTCTGGTAAGATGTGGATTTACAAAGTGTGATATGAAAATTTTCCTGCAGCAAGTCCACTTATCACTCTAACTTCAGATAACTGCAGTATAGATTTTATTATTCATAGCCAGAGGCCTGTGTAAATCTCTGGGTTGACTTCTCATGTCTTCACAAGGGCAGAATGTAGGCTGTGGTGTTCAGGTTTCATAAGGAATTACTGTGGGAACTGTCTCACACCATCCTAACACAACTCAAGGAGTTTGTGAAGTCAAAGGGGAATCTTATGAGAAGGAGCTGATATGGTTGGGTTTCCTGCCGAGCCCCACTGAGATGCTGGAGAAGATAGCACATCTCAGTGCCGCTTGCCGAGAGAAAGCAAACAGAGCTTTACCACTGAGTTCACTCAGTGTTTGACCCAGCCTTCCTACTGCTTCAGGCTTTTCTAGGACTAATCAGACTTGATAACAAAATAATTCAGAACAAGAAAGTGAATGCATTTGGGGTTTCCATGAATTTACATTAGGATCCGAGTTCATTACAATATTAATTTTGACTAGGTCCAGTCCTTTCTAAAGGCATTTCAACACTACTTTCATGCTATGTGAAAATGTAATTTTTGTATACCATAATAAACATATTCATATGTATGTAACTGTATATATCTCCAGATATGTATCTCCACATATGCTGGAACATTGCAAAACTATTTCTAATACATTACAGAACCATTTGAAAGTTGCATTCAACCCCAGATTTTAATGACTCACATAAACTCTTAACTACACATTGATTTCTATAAAGATTATTTCTGAACTCACTCAAAAATTCATGGTTTTAAATTTGTGTATATATCATTGGTGGTAGAGGGGATTTTTGGGGGGAAATCTGTACACCTCATTCAAATATGATTTGCAAAAGTATCGTTTTTACATGACAATGAAAAATACTTTCCTTGATCTAATGGCATCTTTAAAGCTTGATATGTTGTCCTCTTTTATGCTAAAGGAATTACAAGTCAGTAGAAAGGTGATGTTTTCTGTCTTTTGTCTACACAGAGCTCACTTACTTCCTATTAATGTAACTCACAAATATAGGTGATTTTTTAAAATAATAAAGCTCCATGTAATTTTTGCTAGTTTTCCTGATAGTTTGAGTCATTTTACTATCAAAGTGAAAAAGCTAGTATAATTTTTACCCCAATGTTAATGTTATTTGAGGGTAGCTTTGATCCATGCATCACTTTTCCTTTTACACCACTGTAAAAATACAAAGGATGTTTTGTACTGTAAGTTCTTAATACTTTCTTTGATCGAATTTGGCTCTGTCCTGGAATTAATCTAAAACTCCTGAGTCGATCAGATTTAAGAAGGTATGAGTTTTTACTAAATTTACTAAGTTCCAACTGGTTTTGAAGATTGATCTAAGAATCCAATATAACAACACATGGAGAAGTTCATTACAGCCCTTAACAATGGTTTAATGCACCACTGAAATCATTCAAGATTGCATGAGGGATGGAGAACACCACTGCAATGAAATTTTATTTCAGAATCCTCAACTTCAAGTTCTGACAGAAAATCTTCAGATTCACACTGTAAGTACATAAAAACTAGAGATGTCTACCTTGTTAATTAACAATAGTTTGATTTTCTTATCTTCTATAACACAAAAATAAAATGTTAAATGCTATTTCAAAATTTTAATAGTTATATTCTATTGTGACAGTGCATTTTTTCCCCTAGCTCTTTTGTTTTAGGCAAAATAAAGAGTTGTGTGCAATGTTTCATTTCAGGAGACCTTCATTTTCTGAGGGAAAATAATTCTAAAAGTCTTATGGATAATAGGTTAATGTTCAATAGATTTGAAAAGTCACTCTTTTTTTTTTACTGTGTCTCTGTATTTTCCAACTTGATTGTTAACAGAACAAAATATCCATGGTTAGGTCTGGTAAGGATCTCTTTCCATAATGCTCTTTTGTCTGTATAACAATAATAAAAGCTTTATTGGCACCTATTTCACATGAAAAAAAAAAAAAAAAAAAAAAAAAAAAAAAAAAAAAAAAAAAGTAAATCAATACCAAAGACTTTTCTGGAAAAGCCACTTTAAAACAGGACTGTATTATAATTGTTATCTTATTTCAGTAGGGACTACCTTTTTTAAAAATATGTCATATAATTTCCTGATGATCCATTTTCTCTCCCCATCTCCACTAAGACAATATATATTTCCGAAAGAGCTCTGGAATTTTAATACATGGGGATAGATATTCCTCAAAATAATCCTCAAAGTTTTTTCTTCGTTAATAAATTCATGTACCCAAGGATATTCCCCAGATTGATAATTTATCATGGGTTAAAATACCCCTCACTTAGCAAAGAAACATCACTTAAGCGATGGGATTCATGCTCCCAATTGTGTGACATTTATAACGAGGAATAAATAGGCATCACAGACAGTCAGGACGTGCTACGGCTGGAAGTTTCCTTCCGAAGCACTTAGTGACTATCTGTGAATAATGAACACATTCATGGGAACCAGCATGGGTTGTGCAGCGTCCTTGGAAGGGGAAAAGTTCTCTGCCAACATCACTGACGGTGAACAGTTCAGTAAGGTTGGGTTTATAAAGATAATTTACTGAAAAATCCCTCCCCAGAATTATCAGTTTCTCTTTTTCCCCATCTTCGGGGAGCCCTTAAAATTTACGGCAAATTCAGAAAGGAATTCCACACAGTGTTGTTACTTTAAGTGTTATTTAACCCACATTTGAAGGGTTTTAGAGTTTTCTACCTGCAGGGGAAAAAAAAAAAAAAAAAAAAAAAAGAAAAATTGAAGATTACCTGCTGATTTTAACAAAATGACCTTTTTCATGAAT